GATGTCAGCCAATTTCCCAACTCATTGGCATTTGATGCGTTGCATCACATGAAGCCTTTTAATCCAGCTATAAAGTGGAGTCAATATACAAAATGGCTTCTTTCTTTTTCTCTTTTTACATTGGGGCTTCTTCGGAAGCTTATCATAGACAATGTGTGAAATAAACATTGTAGTTTCAGTTAATGTTAATTTTGTGACACAACCGAGCCCGTCATATTCTGCGGATCTATTCATAATCTGTGTCACAAAGCAGCAATCGACTTCTATTTAGTTTAAACATATTTTATTTGCAAAATTAAAGCAAAATGGATTAGACACAAGTAAATCATACGTATGAAGTCTTCTCCATAATACAATATAAATAAATACAATAATAGTATAATGAGCATACATGTAAAGCAAACAGTTTATAGAATATATTTAAAAAAGAAGGAAATATTGAAAAGTCATATAATTCTGTGATGATATCTTGGGTGTTGATGATGAAGTCGATGATGGTGGTGTTCCGAGTCAGTACCAATAACGCTTTATGAAGGTACAAGAAATCTGTTTGACCTTTTGATTTAATTTTGAACATGTTTGAAAATTCGGATATTTTGTTCGTTCGAAAGTTCCAAGTTTCCGCAAATTAATAGATCTGTATCTAAAACAAAATTTTCGGAAAGCCAATTAATTATCGAGTAAGGTTTTCCTACGTGAAATGTATTTTGGACAAACGAAGAAGTAATGATGAACATCCTCAATATCTGACCCACATTGGCAAGAAGGATCATTTATAATGTTAGCTAGAAAAAGGTCATAGTTTAAAAATGAAGCGGAGCATCGCAATTGTGTTAAAATAATATTCAATTTCCTCGGGCCGTACAAATAAAACGTTTCAACTTTACTTAAGAGACTATCGTTTTTCAATTCTTTCTTAAATTTAGATATAGAGTCGACGCCGCGATTTTTGGATCAAGTTTATTCCACTCACCTATTGTGGAGGGAATAAACGATTCAGTATAGTAAGGGAAAGTCTACAAAAGGGAATAATCATATCTTGACCATTTCGCAACGGATATTTGGTTGAACTTTGTACACATGGAGGTACAAGATTACATAGGTACTCCGGTGCATGGTTTTGGTTCATATTATAAAACATCTGTAATTTTCTTATTCTTCTTCTTTCAAAAAGAACTTCCCAACCAACCTCAGAGTATAAGGTTTCAGTTTTAGTGAAAATTGGTAGACCGGTTACAATTCTTGCGGTCTCTAATTGCAAACTTTCTAATTTATGTGAATGCCATATTCCACAATTATTCCAATCTTCCGTGGCATATTAAAAAAATGGGTCGAATATAAACTAAGTACAGTTTTTCTACATTGTTTCGAGACAGTCGGTATTTAAGCTTACGCAAACCATTTAAGTGTTTCTTTACACTTGTAATTATACTTTCAATATGATTGTTCCATTTTGCGTCACTACTGAAATTAACATCAAGGTGCTTATGAGATGTACTTAAAGGGATAATTTTACCATTTACAAAAAAGCTGAGGTCTGGAATCTCAATATTTGAAATAAATCATAATTTCGGTTTTATCAGGGTTAAATGACATAAGCCATTTAGTAGACCAAACATACAGCTCTTTCGGGTCTCGATCGATAACAGATCTAATCTGTTCACCGTCGTTACCAAAATAACTGAATGATGTGTCATCAGCAAATAGCCGACACCGTGATGTGAGCTTATCAGCAATATCATTAATATAGAAGACAAAGAGAAGAGGACCCAGAACTGATCCCTGGGGAACACCAGCTGAAACATTACAAGTGGAAGAAGATGAATCATGCAATACTACTCTCTGTTTTTATCATGTAGATAATCTTCAAACCAATGTAATAAACTTCCGTCAAAGCCATAAGCTTTCAGTTTGGATATAAGACCTCTGTGCCAAACTTTGTCAAAAGATTTAGAAAAGTCACAAAATACAAAACAATTTATTTCTTTTTTTTACAAAGAGTTTAATATACAGTTATGTATTTCTAAGAATTGATGGACAGTTGAATTTTTAGGAAGAAATCATCATTGATATTCATAAATTAATTTATTAACATGTAAATGATTGTATAAGTGCTTAAACACAACTCTTTCCATTACTTTTTCAACACAACTATTTAAAGATATCGGTCTGTAATTTGCAGGCAAAGATGAATCTCCCTTTTTGAAAATAGGTATTAGATTTGCTATCTTCCAGCTGGCTGTATATATGGCCTCTCGTAAGGATTTATAATATAATATTGAGCGGAACTGCTACCTTTTCTGGACACAACTTTAGCATTTTATGACTGATATTTGGATATAATATCTGAATAATATCTATTATTTCTTTTATATTCATTTGGATATCTGAAAACTTACTAACAGTTCTTTTTTCAAATTCGGGTAGAATAACATGTTCTTTGTCTAGTTTGGAAATCATACTAAATATTTGTTTAGCAAACTACATTTCTCCTCATCGTCATATACAATATCCTTCAGTTCATTATCATTTATAACATTATGGAGAGGGGGTATGTTTTCTGAACCTTTTTTGGATTTAATCAACGTTTTCATTAATTTCTAATACGTTTTTGAGTTCGAGGGGTTTTTTGATATTACACTATCCAAATTTGTTTAAAAATTTTCTTTGGCAATTTTTTCATATTATTTACTTTATTTCTCTGTTTTTGTACTTCATAATATTATTTTCACTCTTAGATTTAACTGCCTTTTTTTCTTATTCTATCTCGAATTCGAATTTCACGTCTTATGTCATTATTGAACCAGTGTTTGTCATTATGTCGTACAGTTACTAGTTTAGTAGGAATACATTCTTTAGCCATTTTCAAAAATTCTGTTGTAAAAATTTCACCACAGCTCATTAGTGATTTTACTGTCCGGAAGCACTGTATTCCAATCAATTTCGTCTAATTTCTCTGAAAATTTTAATTTATCAGCCCTATCATATAGGCATATTTCTCTTTTAAAAGATTTAAACTCAGACATTGGACATTCGAGAAAGCAATAGGTGCACTCAGTAGGTGCACCATGATCACTAATTTCAGATGGAGTTGTTAAAACATTAAAAAAGGAACATGACATAGAGTCACTGATTATAATCGGATCTAGCAGAGTGCTACTATGGTCCGTTACTCTAGTAGGTAATTCCATAACGTTGGTTAGTTTGAACAAAAATATGTTAATCGGTTTATTACTGTGCGTAGTAAGCAAGTCGGAATTCAAATCGCCCGTAATGACCATCCTCTCATGGGCGCATTACATTTGCGCGCATTTGGGGATTAACATTTTGTACGTTTGCGCGCAGCTTTTGATTACATTTGCGCGCATTCTTTTTACAGGTAATACAGGTAAATATAAAGATAATTTATAATAAATATCTCGATAGTTGTTAATTGTGAACATATTATTCATTTTATATTATATATATTTCATATTAATTCGAAACAAAATATAATATATTAAGTGATTATCCACGTATTTTTGTGTTTCGTGACATTATTTTAAAATTTCAAAACTACCAGATATATCAAACTAAGACGGCTTGAAACATCAGCACTGAGTTGTACGTAGAAGTCAGAAAAAATAAATATTTGATGGAGTAATTCCGATAGTACTAGAATAGACTAGGAGTATTTGAATGAATTTATTTTCTTAGTTGGCTTCAAATATTCAACACGTACCTACAGGTATAATCGGTACTTTTGCTCTTCGGATTTCCTATTTCCTATGTTTTTACAATTTCATCTGTATATATCTCCAGGACTTGGTGCTGGTGCTTGTGTATAATAAAACGAACTAATCCGGCTCGACCACCCCCACATTTTTTCTTTATTGGAGTTATTGCCCTTTCATGACTAAAACAGATAGATTGAAACTTAAAAAGAAATATATAACCGAATGTGGCGTGGTTAAACATGGTTGCTGGCGCCAGACCCTCCACCTAACCTGGGACAGTGGTGTAACAGCACAACGTAAGAAGGGGCGACACGCTTTTGTGATATAGGATATAGGGGTAAAAAAGTGGGGATGTAGGATAAAGGGAGTAAAACAAGTAGAATTTGATAAAAAGAAATGAAAAAAGTGGGAAATTGAAAAGCATTTATACAAAAAGCGGAATTTGGGAATTGAGCACGTTTATACCCCGTGTCACCCCCTCATATTACTTTTTGTTATTGATTAGTGTCGTTCTTACACGCCGTCATGACATACCATTGAAGAATTTTACAGTTGAATTTTAATATTCATTCTTCAATATTAAATGCGGGTTATCGTTATAAAATATTGATGATGGTGTCGATTTTTGTGCTGAAATCAGCTTACATTTGATATTTCAATATTTATATTCCATATAACACGTCCATTTACATCGATTTCCTCTGCCTTGGTTTAGTATAATATCTAATATTGTCGTATTTGTACAGATTATATATAAAATCATTGATTTTGTATGATAAATATTTACTACAAGTACGTCCACCTTTTAACTCTGACGACAAAATTAATTGAAATCTAGCATTTATAAACCATCGATTTGCAATTACAACCAATGATTAATTATTCAGTCACTGATTGCTCAGAAAATTGTATCAGAGCGGGTAATTGAGAAAACTGAACATTTTAAAGTATTTTCATGATAAATTAATAGTTCTAAGTGGTCGTTTGCTTGTTTCTTTGAATTATTTATGCATGTGTTACATTGTAAATCATTTTATGTCAAAACCGTCAAATTTTATCGCTCCTTTAATAACTTTGTCAATAGTATTACGCTTGTTATCTGTTCCCTCTCCACAGAAGAACGTAGGCTACTTGAAGTAAATGCAATATATTCGAAATTCCATGATAATTTTATCTCATGGTCTACCTTTTCTTAAAATAACGCCAAGTTTCTCCCCCACGAAGTCAACTCTGACCCTAATGACGTTTTTGATGCATCCTCCAATAGAAAATCTATTGAACGGTATGAGAACTGAGAGTTTACGATGTTATTAATATTTTTACTGGATCTTTACACCTAGAAGATTTTCAGTGTCTTCTTCGAGTGTATAATATGTAAACAAAAAATCGTATACCAGTAGCAGTGAAGTGTAAACACTAGCAAATATACATCCGTCTTATCCAGGCTACGCTATGAATAGGATTTTACCTTCTCACTATAGTAAACATTAACATGTGGAAACGCTGTCAATATTCAATTGTGCGTATAGGTCAATACAATTACATATACTATGTGGAAATAAATAGCAGTTACCTTTGCCGTTGAGATTTAGTACTAATGCGTGTAGGGAGCTTTAACTTAATACATTTTACAAGGCTTTTTCGTAATAACAATACGAGGTCAGTCGTCTAATATTTTACGTGCATTCATTTGAATTTTATTACTGTTATGAGGCTTAGATGATCGTAATCCGACCAGGAATCCATTCAAGCTGGATTCGTACAGAAGTTCTATTAATTCAAGACGTTCACCACGGACTTCAGCCGTGTCGTACAAGCGGGGTAGAAATACCCCGACTAAAATGTCCGGTGATATGGAATACGATAAATCTAGTCATTCTCTAGAAGTTACTGAGGAATATGGAAACATGGAGAAATGGTTGGATGCTCATCCAGAATTTGTTCATGACTACTTTGCTAGAAAAGCAAAAAAGAGCATGGTAGATGGATGGCTTTTATCACATGCACTTGCACATAGTCCGTCACTTCAGTTACCTGGAGATAACAATTCTAGTGGTTCTAATTCAAGGAATAATTCTGGGACTAATACCCCAGTCAGGAAAATCTCAGCCCAGGAGTTTGATCGTGGGGACACTTTAGATCCAATTATCTCAACTATTGACGGCACACCGACATTTTTAGGACCTTCCACCAGTTGCCAGAGTTTGTCTTCAAAATGTTACAGACGTTCAAGAAGCGAGTTGAAGGCTTTAGATGAAAAAGAGTTGATGTACGAACTTGTAATAGATATATGCAATGATTTAGACGTAACAAGTTTGTGTCATAAAATTCTACAAAACGTCTGTTGCCTGCTTAATGCAGATAGGTGTTCCTTGTTCCTGGTACATGGAAGGGAGTCTGAGGAACGTTATCTCGCACCAAAACTGTTTGACGTAAGTGCGGACACCACATTGCAAGAAGTGTCCGAAAATCGTGGACAGTCAATTAAAGTTCCCCTTGGAACAGGAATAATTGGATATGTTGCTCAGACGGGGGAGCCACTAAATATTCCGGATGCTTACAAGGTTAGTTTTATTTTCATACTGAGAAAAACAACTAAGTTACTTTATATAAAGTGAACCTTTGTTTATTGATTGTGCTTAAAGTCAAATTTAAAACGGGTCAAAAAGATACTGCAGAAGCCCCCTTTGACACTAGCACCTTTCAGTGTCTATCAGTGTAGATATGATATCTAAGCAAGCAGAGTGCGTTGCATAATTCACGCTTCTAAGCGTATAACAAATATAAATGGTATGCAACAGATATTTGAATGTGTTTACTCTAAAACAACTATCAAATATTCTCACACTGATTTACAACAGTCGGTACAATGATATGATTTAAGTGTATCAGAGTAGAACAATCATAAAAGAACTGAAATTGAATGAATTTGGATATATCGGTCTGGGGATGTCACAGGTCGCTGACAATTGCGTCACGAAACCGGCCTATAACATTATGCGACATTGTTTTATTTAATTGATACCATGTATATAAAGGATTTACGTATACAATTTAAACCTTTTATGTGATTTTATGACTCGTTTGTCATTCATAAAATCTACAGTTGTACGCTCGTATTTGTTATATTTTCAGGATGAGAAAATTAGCAATATTTTTTACTGAAAGAACATAGTTTAATAGTTTCTCAAAATTGTGCATACCTTATCGGGAGCCTGTTTTATATACATGTGTAAATTTATTACGAGACTATAAAATTTTAACATTGGCTTTAAGTCAAGATAGGGCATTTTTTACGAACGAACCTTGAAAACAATATTATTCTAAGTAAAATTCAGTAGCAAGAGTTCAGATCAGTAATTCATGCAAACATAAATCTTCTGAAAATAAATATATGCCCATTGTGAAAGGATTTAGATATAATGTAGTGTAATTTAGACATAGAATATCTTTATTACAGCTTACTGTCGACAAATCCTCTTTCAATGCTTATAATCCACGGACGACTTAAATGTTATTTACACATTTAAATTAAACAAGTTTTAGATGTAATATCCTGTTTAAATTTATCAAAATAAATTTATCTATGCAAGCGTAAAATTTTAATCTTTGAGTTTGAGCACGTATAGCTTGCATACATAATTTTATAAACGAAAGAATTCAGACCAATATTACCGTATCAATACACAGAGACGGGAGTCTAGATATACCAAATTATACCGGGGCATCATATTGTACATACCAAACAAACCAATAAAAAGTATCGCCACATTTTCAAAGTGATAATTGATATTTTTTGGGGAGATTCTTGACTGTTGCTTTATGCTATGTCTATATGGTTGCAAATTATGATGTTCAAATGCAAGTTGGACAACAAGTGGCAAGTTGAGGGTGTACTATATACTTATATACCTATCTAAATACTTTAACACTGATGTGTATGATATAAGAAACACTCGCATGATCTTCTGTACTGGACGACATACTGATGCGTCTATATGTTCAAAATTAAAATTTCGTGCAGATTTGTGAACTTTGTGAAAGCCATTTTTTAAAATCTCGAATTAAGAAGTGGTATTTTCTTTTTCTACACAACTGTACTTCTGTAACATTCCTGTCACTGCGGTTCTGTTCAGTGTCCATGTGTCCAAGTTTCAAATTTTTATAAGTAGCCCAGTTAAAGGACAAGTGAAGACCAAATAATAATTGGTAAATATACATCAAAATATTTAAGAAACCACAGATTTATTAAGTTTGGTATATGCATGAACAATCATCATAAATGTTTTCCGGAGTAACATATTTGAAATTTACATATAGCATATGTATAGAGACTAAATGAATCACGTTACATTATTCATTCTTTAAAAAAAAATTAGCCTAACTATAATGTGCTCTTAATTCTACAGGATTTTAAGTTGCTGTTTTAACAACGACAGAGGTGAAATAGAGCAAATATGAAACTTAATAATTTCTGTAAATATTTATTTTATATTGTTCAAACAGCTCTCTGCATGGAAAAGATATTCTTGTTTGTTGAATTAACGAAAGAATTTAGGATATTCATCAGTATATATGATTTGCATTTTGATAGTAATTAAAATTAATAAATGTAAAAACACGTTCTTTTAAAAAAATTTTTAAATATACGTGTACAAAAGATGGGAAAGATACCAAAGGGACATTCAAACTCATAAGTTGAAAATAAACTGACAACGTCATGGCAAAAAAAGAAAAAGACGAACTTCAAATGCACTGTTAAATTAATTTCAATGAACGATATGTATAAAGCGAACTTTGACGGGTTATGTGTAGGTCTGTAAACAGGGGCGGATCCAGGACTTTAGGTTAGGGGGCGCAAACTTAAATTTTCGCCTCGCTAGGCTCGGCGAAATTTTTTTGAGGTTAAATGATATTCTTTATTAAGCTGAGGACAGCCCATGTTTTGCACATTTTAGGGGGCGCACGCCCGCCACGCCCCCGCCTGAATAAGCCCCTAGTAAAGAATTTCGACTTGTGGAGAGTAAAGAAGTTATCACAAAATAAACAAACAGGTCGACAAAATAAAAAAATCGTCGAGGAATCCGAAAAATATATTTCTATTTCAGAATATTTTTTTCCAAGGAAAGGATCCACGAAGAGCAAGCAATTAGCTTCAATTATTTACACAATTAAAGTGTCAAGTAATCTGATAATCGTTATATATATATATATATATATATATATATATATATATATATATATATATATATATATATATAAAAGTCTAAATTGAAAACAACGTTCAAACCTATGATTGCGTTGGATAAAAACCGCAATTTTTATACGTGTGCATGTAAAACAAATTTCTTGGTAAAGGGGTCTATATATATATATATATATACAAATAAACACCCTATATAGTGATCTAAAGCCGAAGTCAGGCAAGACTACAGAGGTTTTGAGTTATACTTTAAATTACATTGACAATTATCCATTTCTATGATATATTAACTTCTATATGATATATTAGTCCTTTTCAATCGTTGGCTCCCTTGTTTTCTATACATTTCTTTATCCTGGAACCCCTACCATAGTAAGCCACCACTCTAACAGCTAAACTTGTGACGTACACTAGCAGAGCTAACGGAGGGCTAATATTAATCTACTAGGTCAATGGAAATACCGTTATACTTTATAACCAGCGATACGTATTGAGATTATATTTTTCTTTAACCTGCAGATATGCTTCACTAATTAAATTAACAGTAGTAAAGAAAATATTTGCTTTTGAAAGAATGTAACCATCGACTCTTGAATATCTGATTTATACATAACTCAAAAGTTATTGACTGGAATAAAATCTCCTGAAAGTTCAGTTAATTCATGGGTACTGTTACCTTGATCTTTGACCTGTTAACTCTAACACTAATAGGAGTCTTTTTAAACCCATGGCACTATCGAGCTAAGTTTTGACATCATGATAGTTCACAAGATATCATCCGAAAACTAAATGTGTGTCTCAATTAAAAATTTAATCTATTAAAGGTTGAATTGATCTTGACCTTTGACCTTAATACCTCAAAATCAACGTTGGTCTTTTCATCGAACGGGGCATTGCCAAACCAAATTTGGTAAAAGGTAGACATGTTGTTCATTTATACCACACAGAAACCGAAATAGTGCCCACATTTTATAGCTGTGGAGACCTTGACCTTAAACCTATTGACCCTAAAACCAATAAGTAATATCAATAAATGGCAGTATTAATGCTAAATTGTTTCTATTCAATATATATTTACTACTTTTGTAGACTTGGTACAAGTTAGGTCTTGTCATATTGTGTAGACAGGACTGGTGTCTATGATTGAAGACTAGGTTACCCTCTTTATATATAGATGTCTAATTGTTTTTACGTTGGGTTGATGTCTCGTTGTCTCAGTGTTCATATATCATTGGCATTGGCATGTGTTGCATTGGTTCGTTTAGCTTTTTAAATTTAGCTTTGATAAAAAAAAACAGATACCGAAATACACTATGAAATTTTGTTCAGTATAATTATACATTAATGTAACATAACTATGTTTTTACGTCACTGTAAAACAACACTACGCAATTCGCAATTAATTAGTATACAGGTGAAAGTACATTGTAAAGTGACAGTTCTAGACCATGTCTGTATCTTTGATATATGTCCTTGTTACTTATTTTACTATATTAAGGAACATGAAGTGTAGACATCTTACGCATGACTTTGTGCGGATGAAAACACTCTTATTCGTGATCTCACAATGTTACAGAAATAGAAAGGTTTACGCTAGAAAAAAAGTATCCAATCTAATTAAAATATAGATCTCTGATTTTTATTTATTAGGATGAAAAATATCCAATGTAAACATTAAAAAAATGGGACAGGGACAAAAAAAATCTAGTCATGGAAATTGGTATCAAGAAATTATGTTGAAATTATATCCTCCAATTGATACGATATTCAAAGGTTTGCGTTTCATATAAGGATTTCTATGAATGAGGGTTGCTGCTTTTAAAGAAGACTGCTAGCTGTCAATTATATTTATTACTTCTCGCTAAGTCTCCATTGCAGTTTAGAATAATGATTATAATCAAATCGGGTTCTAAGAACTGAACATCAGTGGTCGAGAGCAAATCAATCGCATTTTTTTTACCTGAAAATTATATATACGAGTGATTGTATTCTGTTTCATAATCTGTAAATTTCTGTAAATTTCCGATTTTACAAAATTAGAAATGTAACAACTGCTGCAGAGATTTGTGAGTCGAATATTTAAATAATAATAGGATCAGCATATGTGTACCAATATATCTGGTATCAATAAAGGATATAACCAATTATAAACGTATAATAATTAATTAAAAAGATGATTTATTCGCTTTATCTTCAGTTCATTGCCAAGCAAGCAGTATAGACCGCTTATAACAGGTCATCCTGTATTAATCATTCGTCAAGATCCATCTGTTTTTATTGATAGGTTAAACATTTTTGTGTAATCTTACTTATCTTATTTTTTTTTACGAAATTGAAATAATGAGGTTAAATCTCAAAGGG